GGCCCCTCTCTTCCTCACTCACCCTCATGCCGATGGGGCTCCACCATCACATTCTTCCCCGACTGGTTTCCTCTCTTTCCTCCCCTGCCACGACCCCGGTTGCCGCCAGATTGGAACCCTCCTCCACCTACGGGGGAGAGATGCAGTCAGAGAGGGGACCCCCAAATCTCTACCCTCCCCACTCCTCAAGCCTCCTCCATGACACTCGCCAACTATACTCACCACCTCTTCCTCCTCCTCCTCCTCCTCGCCCACGGCCCCTGAAGCCTCCTCCTCGCCCTCGGCCGCCACCAAAGCCTCCTCGGCCACCGCGGCCACCACGGTCACCTCCAAAGCCGCCTCGGTCACCAAACCCCCCTCGGCCTCTGAAGCCACCCCCTCGGGGACTGAAACCTGTGGTGGCAAAAGAAACAGGTGTCAGTGATGAAGTCTGAAAGGCGATGAACCTCACACCAAGTAATTCCACTCAGAAATATCTACAGCAATAAACTGTGGTCAATGTCACAAGACAGAGTGTATGTGAACTGCTGTATGGAAAGTAAATTTGCTCTGTAAACCTTCACCCAAATCACAATAAAAAAAAAAAAGAAAGAAAGAAAAAAATATCCACAGGGAGAAAAATCCAGACCAACCCAAATGCTCCTCGGTAGAACGGATAAACAAGATGGGGACTAAGCATAATCAATGGTGAAAATGACTACAGTGACACGTAACAGCAGAGAGAAACCTCAGAATCATGTCAAATGAAAAAACAAGTCCCAGAAAATCAGACCCAACAACTAAAGTAAACTTAACCCGCTGCCACTGAGTCGATGCCGACTCACAGTGACCCCACAGGATGGATCAGGACTGCCCAGAGGGTTTCCACGGGAGTCCTGGTAGCATAGTGCCTAAGGTACCTGACTGCTAACCAGAAGGCTAGCGGTTCAAACCCACCAGCCACTCCTAGGAAGGAAGATGGGGCAATCTACTTCTGCAATGATACTGTCTCAGAAACCCAAGGAGGAGTCGCTATGAGTCAGGTCTGACTCCACGCACATAACAACATAACAACAACAATCTTTACGGAAGCAGACTGCCACAGCTTTCTTCTGTGGAGGAAGCGGCTGATGGGTTTGATCTGCTGACCTTCCGGTTAGCAACCAAGTGCTTAACCACTGTGCCATCAGAGCTCCTAAAATGAACTTAGTGAACTAAAGCTAAGTTCACAAATAACTAAAATGAAGTAATGCTGTGCTGCTGGCCAACATATGTATATGGTAAACAAACAAACAAACAAAAAAATGAGGCAAGGGAGCGACTGATACAAAATTCATGATCATGGTTATTGGGAGGGAGGTCTTATGGGGTTAGGAGAGGGGAAGAGAACATAGGAGTCTGTACCAACCAGTTGCCATCAATTCCTCCTCGTGTGTGTCCGAGCAGAACTGTGCTCACAGGGTTTACAATGGTTGATTTTTTGGAAGTAGATCACCAGGCCTTCTGAAGCACCTTGGGGTGGACTCAAACCCCTAACCTTTTGGTCAGCAGCCAAGTGCATTAGCCATTTGGACCACCTAGGGGCTCCACAAGGAGTCTCCTAGTTTACTGTGAGTATCTGGGTGGCTTGAAGAGGAGGCAACACTGTGTGTGCGTGCACTGTGGCAGCAGGGTCCCAAGGCCCCGGCAACACCTCCGTGCCCTCTTACTCCTGACCTTGCGTCTGAAGGCAAGCCCAGCCCCAAAGGGATGGCGTTCAGCGTGATGTCTTTCCCTGCTATCTGATCGCCCCACTGCCAACCTGCAGAAGTCCCTTGCAAATGGGTGGCCTGGGTGCAGCAACTCAGAAGCGAGAGCTTAGAGCTTGCAACAAGAGAGAAAGTTTAAAAAAGAAAAAAATTAAGTTTCAGTGAGACTTTCTTCTCAACACTTCAGGGTAAGAGTGAGCAAGCTCCTAAACAAGGTTTGAAACTGACAGAACCGTTCAGGGGCTAAGGGGTTTCTGACCTTTCTGGGAGGGCCTTCAAAGACATTGCCCTTCTACTATGTCAAAAGGTCGGAAATACCACCAGCACATTACACAGCTACAAAACAACAGCGTGAAAATCAGTGATAGTTAAAAATGATCTCAGCTGATCTAAACCATCCAGTAACAAGCCTGCTAAGCGTTTCAGAAAGCTGTATTATACTCACACCCTATAAACGCTTCATGCCCCTTTATGTCGTTAAAGATGAGAATGTACAATTTCTAACAGCTAGTCCCAATTTCATTTTCACAAAGTAGCAGCCGAATTGTCAAAAACTCCTCAACGTCTTCAAGAAT